ACCTACCAAATGTGACTAACAGCACTTTAGAGATTAGTGTAATTCCTCACTGGTTTTACGATGATTCATTGGTTCTGCAAATACTGTTCTGGCAGCATGTTCTTTCAATGGCATTAATACAGTTTTGTAACTTCTTCTTTATAATAATTCTTGCAAGAAACATGCTCAGGTGCTGTGCTTTCCCTGTTTTCTGAGGGACAACTAGAGTAGCAAAAGTCCAGTGCATTGAATTCAGAATTGTTGGAATAGAAACTCAGAGACCTCAAAGATCATCCAGTTCCAACCCCCTTGCATGGGCAGGGACACCTCCCACCAGACCAGGTTGCTCCAAGCCCCATCCAACCTGCCCTTCAACACTGCCAGGGATGGGGCAGCCACAGCTTCCCTGGGCAGCCTGGGCCAGTGTTTCACCACCCCCATAGGACATAATTTCTTCCTAATATCTCATCTAAATCTCCCCTTTTTCAGCTTAAAACACTTCCCACTCTAGAGGAAGGAGATTGCTATGAAGCAGTAAGATCTGCCTCCATTTGGCAGGACAGAAATATCAATGCAGGTCACCAGCCAAGTGCTATAATCTTCCCCTGCTGTGGAGGAGGAGTCTAAAAGACTGTAGGCAACTCCGAGATGTAAGCAGTGTGAGCCCATGGCTGTCAGGGAGGTGACAGAGGCATGGCCTGGGACCTGCCATGGGCCTGCCACCAGCCACCCACTGTGGGACCATCTTGCTCTTCCCTCAAGCAACAGCTTTAGGAGTCTGGGGAATTTTTATGGGGCTCTGTTGAAACCCTCAGAGAAGACCAAGGTTTGTTGCATCCCTTCCTTCAATGGTCTTTTGTTCCGTGGTGCAGTTCTTACTGTTCATGTGAACACTGTGCTCCCAAAAACGTGAAGCTTAATTACACAGCTGGTTAATTTTGTGCCAAAACCCCCACTGAAGGTGCTCATCCAGCTGAAGGTGAAGGTAGTAGGTGTCTGCATCATCACACTGCTCACAGCACACACTGACACTTAAGAACACAGTGAGTGCATATAACATTAATAGAGTAAGAATAAAATACAAAGCCTACTTTAATTTCACTGTCACTAAGAAGAAGTGCTGCCTGCATTTCTAATACATTTTGCAATGCTGATTTTCCCTATCAGGCAAAGTTACTTCCCACTCTAATAACATACAAACTAATCTGTTCCAGTACAAAACTAGGTATTATATTGGAGAGAGGCAAAATCCTGGGACACTGAGCCATGAAAGTTTTAATATGAGATTCAGTAATGAAGAAATAGCATATTGTAATTTTATCCCAAAGGAGCTGACTTAATTCTGGTGTATTTAAATAAAATTTTTACTGTTACTTTTAAATGTGATTAAAATTTAATATATCAATATATCATCTGGCACATCTTTACAATGCCTGATCTCAGTGATCTTAGGAGATTTGCACAGGCTGAGAGTGCTGCCAAGCTCCATCTGGAAAGCTTCCATCATGTTTTGATACATGCCACTCTTCTCTAAAGATAAAGAACTAGTCTCTGGAGCTATATTATATATTTATTTGTACTCAAGATGTGTTAGTCATTTCTATTGAAGTGTGGTGCCCAATATTAAATAAAAATATCCTTTTTTATATATGTTGAAGAGAGAACAACAACTGGAAGGCACTTGAAATCAGGAAGAGTACATCTAACTGTAAAGATAGGGTACATAGCTGAGAAATGCAAAGTATTTACCAATTTGTCCTACCCAAAAAAGGGCCTTGCTTGTGCCTGAGGGGGAGAAAACAGCTTGAATTAAGAGTGACAGACTTCAGAAAAGAACCAGTCCTCTCACATCCACCATTTCTTTCTGTGGATTGTCTAACTTGCTGTGCACTTTGGTTCAGAACTGGGTCCAGTAAGGCTGGGGCAAAAAGGGAAATCTCAACACTATCTGATAAACCCCAAAAAGCCATTATCAGAGGAGTTTTCTTGTATCAGCTTGAAACAATAGTGCCTCCTTACTGACTCTGCCCTGATAAACAGCACATCCCCATCATGTTTTGTTTCAGCAAGGAGAGAGCCTGCTGGGGTCTTCAGGAGGGGAGCACTGAGCCTGAGAAGCACAGGGCAGGGAGCTGCTAGTTCATAACCCCCCAGCTCTGCTTCTGGTGGACGTTCTCCTGAGAAGTGTAGGTGTTCATTGGGGCTTGGGGGCATTGCAGCACGTTTTAGGAGGACCTCAGCACCTTTGGGTCTCATCATGGTGCTAGGCACTTCTGCAAATGAGGATGTACCTCTCTTTGAAGAGAAATTTAAAGTTCATGAAAACTGCTCAAATTGGTTGAAACCTCCACCCTCTCCAGGCTATGTGGGGAGGTGAGATGAGTGGCAGGATGCTCCAGCAGGGTTTACCACCCATGGTTAGTGCTTTTTCCTGCAGTGTGCAGCCATGGAACACCTGCAGGGCTCTTCAGTCTTTCCCTGGTTCACCAGGGATCAGAAGCTCCCTCTGATCCCAGGTCAGTGAGAAGCCTGGTGCTTGTGCCCAGGTACTTGGGCTGGGTGGTAGCTGGGGGGATTTACAAAGAGGGTAAAGCCACAGAGGCCTCCTGACAGTAAAAGAGAAAGTGTCACAGCACTAATCATGTGAACAAAAGTAAAAGTGAAAAGAGCTTGTCCCAGACTTAATTAACTTCTCTGCTGGTTTTTTTTTTTGGGTAGCTGAGGTGTCTGAGTGGCTTCACACATTCACTTAGTGGCTCAAGGAATTATTGCTTCAGTCCCCTCCACCCCCAATTTTCACAGCACCCAAATCACCACTGATCCAAAAGGAAATTAAAACTCTTACAGATATATTGTGAAAGTGAGAATGCAGTAGCTGAAGTACATCTAGTGGTTGGTAGCTCTGGGAGCAAGACTGAGACTTTGTCTCAGTTTGTATTTATCATGGAATTTAGAGGCAAGAGGTGGTTTCCTTTTTTTTTAAAAAAAAAAAGGTGTGCTAAGGGTTTGTTCTGTGAGGCAATACTTGAATGTGTTGGTGGGAAGAGAGATGTATGAACTTAAAAGTAGCTGGAAAAAAATGGAACAGTCTCAGCAAATAGCTGGATTAGCATTCAACTCCTGTCGGTTTTGGTGGCTGAAGAGCTGTCCCTTCCTTTGTTTATCAGTATTTTGGAAGTGTGAAAACCTTGAAATTGAAGTACAAATCTTCAATTTAAACTTTAATCTTCTTGAATATTTTGAAAAATTAATATTTTAGTGATACTAACAGGGGAAGTTTGAGGAATACTTAATAGCATGGCCTGGGTTTCCCAACCCCTCTGAAGAACCAGGACCCCTAAGGACACAGGTGTGGCCTCAAAGCAAGAGGAGCTGTGGAGGCAGAGCCCTGTGCCACAGGGGACAGAGCTGTGCAAGATATTGTGGCCAAAGCAAATCAGGTAATTCATCCATAAATGCTTAGAGCAGAATTTATGTCTTCACTCTCTGCACATATTTTTGTTTAAGGAATAGCTACATTTCTCTATCATTTTATAGTATATAGAAATGCTATTTTAAAATTGTGAATATAAAAGGGCTCCTTGATATAAGCATTCCTGAGCCAAAAGTGCAGTTTACTTAAATAGCAATATTGAGTGAGAGCTTGAGCATCAAGTCCAAATATAAAGTAGTTTTATTTTACAATCTTCAGTATTTAAATAGAAATCAAGAGTAGCATGTATCTACCACTTATATGGATCTAGGAATGGAATAAATCTTAATATATCTAAGAAGAATGGCCAGAATGGCTTCCCTGAGGAAGACTGCTCATACTGGATGTTTTGAGTCTTCTTTATGCTGTGAAATGGTTTGTTCAGAAAAGTCTCTACATTTAGTCTGTTTAAAAGCTGCCACTTGCTTAGGCAGAGGAAGGCAGCAGGCTGGGACAGCTACACCTCCACATGGGGTTAAGCTCCTGGTAGCACAACTTGTTTCCTTTCCAAACTCAAGCACAAGTTTGCAATGCGTGGTGTAGGTAACTTAATGAAAAAAGGGTTGCTGAACACAACCAGATTAAAAACCAATTTAACTGATGGCCACAAACAGAGCTTAGAGTTTGTCATGGCTACAAAGATTGTCTGTCAGGGTATAAAAGCAATGAATCAGTATGCAGGAGGTATTGCCTGCCCCATAGAGATGCTAATTTTGTGACACTTTAGAAACCCATGTTCTACATTTACTGTTCACACAGGAGGGAAGCTACCCAGCCTTAGCTTGAGCTGATGAAAGCCAAAGACTGCAAAATGTCACATTTTCTTAGCCCCAAGCAGTCTAATTTTGAGGTCTTTAGCTTCTTTTGGTTTGACAACCATCGTGCTGACCGAGTATCCTGAAACACGAACTGTCCCCAGGACTGGGAAGTTACATTCATGCAGAGCTGCAGCTGATCTGCAGAAATAGAAGGGCCTGCCAGTTTCCTGCCCAACTATTTTTGGAAAAAGAGAAAAAAAAACCCCCACAACCAAGTAAAGAAGTTGTAGTAGAGCAGAACAAAGATCAAGTGTCTCAGCGTGTCATCGCTGGGGGCTTTTCTTTTGGTTTGGGGTTGGGGTTTTTTTGGTTGTTTGGGTTCTTTTTCCCCGTAAAATGTTATTAAAAACACTGTCATGCATAGCTGAGATGCAGACTATTCAGTGGCAGGTATGTTAACAGCAGCCCTGGCAGGTTGAGCTTTGCTGCCCTGCTTACCCCAAGTCAGCATCGGAGAGAGAAACCGCCCGGGATAAAAAGAGGAAAGGAAGAAAAGAAAGCAAACAACCACGGCAGTAAATAACACAGCGGGCTGGCACGGCAGAACGTCCCGGGAAAGCGAGAACAGCAGAACAGCAGCTCCTGTTCCCCTCCCTGCCAGGGACCCGCAGCCGCTCAGCGCCGGGGGGCTGAGCTCCCTCCCCGGGGCAGCCCCGAGCCCCCCGAGCACCGGGGGGTGGTTTTCCCGGGGTGGGGGAGGATTCAAGGGAGGTTTTCCCGGCGGGACTCACCGATGGCTGCGTCGCAGAGGAGCTGCTGGGGATGCGCGGGCGCGCAGCTGCATCCCCGCGCCGGGCGGCCCGCGGGGCCGAGCAGCAGCAGCGCGGCCAGCAGCAGCACCGCGCCGCTGCGCATCCTGCGCGGTCCCAAGGGAATGCCGCCTGGGAAAGCCCCTCTAAGGAGGTGCGCCCGGAGCTGTGGCGGCTGCTGGGAACGGGTTTCTCCTCGCCCGGCAGCCGGGAAGCTCTGATTTATGGCCCCGCCGGCCGCCCTGGCCCCGCCCGCCCGTCGCGCTCCTGGGCGGGCAGCGCCGACCTGAGCGAGCCCCAGAAACATCTTTCACAAGCCATCTGGAGCTGGTTTTATGCTCTTGAGAGGTTTGCTCTTCTTCTTGTGGGTGCCCTCCCCGTCTGAAGTGCAAAACCAGCCCTGCTGCCTTCTCTGTTTTGGGCGAGTAAACAAAGATGTCCTTTTCTGAAGGTCCCTTTTCCTTCGCAGCCCCTTCCCCTGCCCTGCTGTGTGTCTGCTTGAAATTAATCCCTGTTTGCAGGCTGGACAGGACTTCATTCCTGACAAGCTGGTGTGTCAGTGCTCTCTGTGTGAGCCTCGGGCACAAGGAACAAGGCACTAAAAGGAAAAGCTGAAATAAAAGCATCTTTCCTTATTTCATCACAGATTAAATTAAAAACAACGAGGAAAAAATGTATCAATGGTGAATGTTGGGAGTGTGGCTCTTTCTCTGCATTCCTTACTAGTGTAAGCCCTGGTCAACATGGATCTGTGTCTGGACTTTCTGGCTCGTGTTATATGTGGGACACAGACATAAGGACAAGAGTTTGGAAATCTTTTGCCATGTCAGATCTTTTGTTGCTGTTGCTGTTGGGGTGTGTGCAACGTGTGTACACCCTCCTTTTGTAAGGAAGTTGTTCCATGAGGCAGTGACCTAGAGTTTACAGAGTAATAAAATGAACATATAGATGAAGATGGAGGCCAGGGCTGCTGAAAGGACTGCATGTTTGGTCACTTCACAAATCAAGCTTAGGAATTGAAAATTCATTAACTTCAGTAAAAAGTTATCCAAGTCCAGGACTAACACCTCAAAATAATATAGACCTGTTCATATCTCTGCTCTTAACTGGAGGAAACTTACTTCTTTCAGGAAGCTTTTCATGTGAGTGAAAAGATAAAAAAGTTGTGGGGCTGAAACCTTACACAGGAAGTTCAAGCACAAGAAGGCCACAGAAAAAAACCCCAAGCAGGTATTTTAATGTGCTCTGTGGTCAGTAGTTCTAGGACTATTGACTTTCAAGTCTCACTTAGGGCAGTGGGATTGGAAAGTGATGAAGGAATTAATTGAGAGATGTTGATTGATTTCCAGATGACATCACACAGCTGTTGCTATAGATCTTCTGAACAGCCCAGTCTGATTACTGTTTCAGTAGAACTCAAACAATAAGGAAATATGGTGGGCAAACTGTCTTCTCCACCATGGAGCATGCAGGTCTACCTGTTTGATGGTTAACTGAGGCACATTTTGGCTATGGTTGTCCAGAACAGCACATCAAACTGATGTCCTGAAGACTTTTGTATCTCATACAATCAAACTAAAAATATTATGCTTACAACCAAATATAAAAAAAAAATCATTGTGACAAGTTGAAACTGATTCACATCTATTTTGTAGACATAGTTGAGAATTGAATACATTCCACTGAATGTGTAGAAGCATAAAAATGCTAAGACTAAATCTCATAATTGTGCAAATGCCATAAAAACACATTGTCATGACAGTCTTGCACAGTGTTGCCTGAAGCTGCCCTTGCAGTGATCCAGCTGGATGCTTAAGAGTCCTTCACAGCCGTGGCACAGAGGTGGAATATTTAAAGCAGGATTACACTTAGAGAAGCAAATGGCCAAGGGGTCCTACACAGTAAGTCTGTTCCCTGTAGGTCTCTTTAGACCAGGTCACCATTGGAAGGGAGAGTCTTGAACATGCTACATGCAGCAAGACCTTTCAGCTTGAAACTGGCTGTTCAGCTTCCCACAAAGGTCCAGCTAATGAGCAGTTTTTTGGCAGGTGTATCTCTCATTTCTTCATGACAACATTGATACAGTCTTATCATTACAATGTAAAATGTAAAAGGCCAACAGTTTTAGAAACCTCAGCAGAACTCCTGTTTTCTGACAAATCTTTATTCTGAAGTGGTAAGTTTTGTCAAGTTGCTATCAGTGTTTAGACAAAAACATACTTACAGCATTTAAAGGGGGTTTTAGTAAGTCTGGAAATCTCTATACTCAAAATATGCTCTCACAAATGTAAGAAAATGCATTTGTAGTCTGTGTGTGGGAGATAAATATTACCCTAAACTTCCACTGGTATCAGTGTATGAGTACCTGTTACCACTGAACAGTATCAGCAAGCATTAGGTCTGAGCTTGAAGCTGCATTGTCCTATTTGCATTATATATTGTTACTGTTTTTCATTGTATTTGGCAAATTACTTTTAGAGAGTTTAAAAGAAATCACAAGCTCAGGACCCAATCTGTACTACAGTTAGATCTTGGCCTTTTAAAATACAAAGGCTATTCCTAAAAGACATAGAAATATTCCTTGACTAGCTTTTAAGCAAAATAATCTTGTCTCTAATCTACTGAAGAAATTGTAGCCAACATTTAATAAATATAAGCAGACTGAACAACAACAACAAAAAAAAGTCCTTTAGCTATTTATATATATAAATGGAATAACACTACAGGGCTTCTTTCACTGCACTGTGTGTGATGATGTCATTTTTCCTTTAGTTTGATCACTAAGCCGTGATATCATAGCAATTATGTCGTAAGAGCAGTGAAGGATGAAGGGTAGCAGGATGAAATAGTGCCCCTCCCTGGTGAAAGTCTGACACAGCCAACATTTGCTAATCAGAATCAGAAAAGTTCACTTATCAGGGATAGTCACTGACTCCTGTGGTTCTTTCTTGACACAGTAGAAAAAGCCCTTGGCATCGTCTCCTTTCTGCCTTGCTAAGTAAGGCCAGTGTTGAACAACTCATTTCTGTTTTCTAGCAAGATGCAATCAAATGAAGAGGATTGGGGATACTCCACTGTATTTGTTGATGTACATCTTACAGGAACGAGGCAGGAAACCTGGCTACAGGCAAATTTATGATCAGCTTCATCTCTTCTCAGTAGGAATCCTAATTATTCACAGGATTTCTAATTCTGGGAGGGCATTCTGTGTCCCATGGGGATTGTCCATGCAGCTTTCCAAAGGCTCTTTAATTACAAGGTATGCACTAGACACCTCCCTGTCCCTCCCAGCTGCCAGACACTTTGCATCTTCACCATGTCTGTTGGTTGGGTTGCCTGCTCAGTACATCAGCTTCTGCCTCTCTACAGAGTATCATTTTTAATCTGTATCAATCCTATTCTCTCCCCATTGTGGCAAATTCATTTTATTTTAGAATGATTGCAAGAGGATTCTCCACAGTAATAGTTTATCTGTTGCCTTCTTGATGCTTTGCTAGAGTTCTTTTCTCCCTAGTCAGCATATGGGATTGCCAAATTTATTTTTCCTAAAAACTACCTTCTGTTTACTTGATACAGTCACACTGCACATCCCATAAAAAAACTGTACAATCATGTGGGAGACTCAAAATTAGAATAGTATTTCACAAGATAGAGGAAACTGAATGGATTTTCAGTCCCAGTGCCTCCAAATGTACTATAGCCAGCTTCAAAAGGGAGGGTATTTATAGCTGCCACTTCCTAATGCCACAGTCACAAACCCCATAGTTTATAGTCACAGCAATTTGGGGATTCTTTTTATAAGGTGGCCAAATGTTGCTTGGTTTTAGAGACAACACTTTGCTAAATAGTTGGTAGAGTGATTGAAATGGAATGAAACACTGACGTGCCAGAAGATAATTTGTCTCTTCAAAGATTTTGTCTTCTGCAGAATTTCTACCAGAGATCTGTGGAACTGCTCTCTCTGCTTCACTGCCATCATACCTAATGTTCCTGCTAATGCCAATTTCTGTTTTCATGCTGCCCAGGTATTGAAAATAGAAGATTTTTCTACCATCAGGTCAATTTTGTGTTGATTTAGATAACTCTTCTATTTAAATTGAAAACCAGCTGTGGGGAGAGAGGTATTTTAGATGTATTCCTTGGTTCAGATTTATGGAATCACAGAATTGTCAGAGTTGGAAGTGGCCTCTAGAGACCATCCAGTCCAACCCCCCTGCTAAAGCAGGATCCCCTGGAGCACATTACTCAGGGCTGCATCCAGGTGGGTTTGGGATGTATCCAGAGAAGGGGACTCCACACCCTCCCTGGGCAGCCTGTCCCAGGGCTCTGTCACCCTCACTGTAATGAAGTTTTTCTTCATATTTCAGTGGCATTTCCCATGTTCCAGCTTGTGCCCATTACCCCTTGTCCTGTCACTGGGCACAACTGAGCAGAGTCTGGCTCCATCCTCCACCCACCCTGAGATACTTCCAGGCAGTGATAAGGTCTCCTCAGCCTTCTCTTCTCCAGGCTGAACAGTCCCAGCTCTCCCAGCCTTTCCTCATAAGAGAGATTCTCCAGTTCTCCAGTCATCTTTGTTGCCCTCCCCTAGTTCCCTGTCTCTCTTGAACTGGGGAACCCAAAACTGGACAGAAGAATGATCTCTCTCCACCTGCTGGCCACACTCTTCCTCATGCACCCCAGGATTCCACTGGCCCTCTTGGCCACAAGGGCACACTGCTGGCTGATGGATCATTTACCCGGTAGTGTCACTTTATGCACTAAGATAATGTAAAAACTTGAATGGGTTTCAGGGAGAACCAGGAGAGCTGGGTTCTTAAGGCCCAGCCTTTTGAGGTGGTGGCAGTGGGCTCTGAAGGCACTGTGTCCCTGTTTTCCATCACTTCCCATTAAATGCAGTGGGAACTGAGGTGGTCCAGGCCTTCCCTGGGACCAACCTGTATGGCACTGCCCATAGCTTGTAAGCCATGTTAACCCTCTGTTTTTAATAAAGAAATAGCAGTGAAGGTGCATTTGCCTCTCTCTGGTCACCTGGCACAATAAGCACATTGAAGCTCCGCTCCTTTTACCCACTTGAGCTTTGGGGTTTCTTTAATACCCATATTT